ATAACCAGAGCCAAGCCGAAGTCAGATACCAAGAAAACACAAGTAGACAGAACGCACTCTCTGGCTACAATAGACCACGACAGGGCAAGGAAGTGATGTAGGAGGGAGGTATAAATAGGGCTAAGAGAGATATGATAGGCTAAGGAAGAGAATACGATAGTATATAAAAAGGTTACCAGATAACCTGAAATGATGTTAGTATCGCTTTAAGAGATTAGAGGTAAGCCACAGGCATACATCCCCGAACGTGATCCCGGTCGCGCGCATGTTGTCGGCCGGATGCCAGCAGAGCCTGGAGGAGCAGAACGTACGGCGGGACTGGCGCAGCATGGGCCGCGAGGAGGTATGACACATACTAACCAACATTATGCAATTAAGGACCACTTACCTGTGACGTGAATAGTAATGGAAAGACTTGGTGACAGCAATTGCTGGGAGACAACTAAGGGTACAATTTGAAATACCTTAGAACCTAAGTAATTCTGTGTACATTGAAATAGCGGAATCTGCCAGACACGTGAGCCCTACGAGGGCTAAGGAAATAGTTGTAAACATTTAAGTGACAACCAATATATACCTTGCAAGCAAAAATGTGTATATGTGTATATATATATATATATATATATATATATATATATATATATATATATATATATATATATATATATATATAAACAAAACCAAGAGGGCTGCACTCACCTGAACATGCATACATTACAGGGTGCTGCTGGGGCCAAAATATATAAAATACAGAATCCAGCGCACTCGCTTATTCACTAAACAATGCTTTCAAAATCTTAGAGTTTGTAATAGTTTTATTTAAAAACACCTCACCTAGGCAAAAAATAATGGGGGTTTAGTTACATTATATGATCATATATTGCATAAGCCTGCCACAACGTCAATGTACCCCATTCTTGGCAGGTCCTACTATTACAATCTCTAAGATTTTGAAAGCATTGTTTAGTGAATAATCGAGTGCGCTGGATTCTGTATTTTTTTTTATATATATATATATATATATATACACACATATACACATTTTTCAATCAATTGTTTATCTATCTACACACACTTTTATTTCCTATATATGTTAATATATTATAAAATAATTAAAGCAATTTATAATATTATATATATACAGTATATACTCGAGTATAAGCCGACCCGAATATAAGCCGAGGCCCCTAATTTTACCCCAAAAAACTGGGAAAACTTATTGACTCGAGTATAAGACTAGGGTGGGAAATGCAGCAGCTACTGGTACATTTCTAAATAAAATTAGATCCTAAAAAAATTATATTAATTGAATATTTATTTACAGTGTGTGTATATGATGAATGCAGTGTGTGTGTATGAGTGCGCAGTGTGTGTATGAGTGCGCAGTGTGTGTATAAATGCAGTGTGTGTGTATGAGTGCGCAGTGTGTGTGTATGAATGCAGTGTGTGTGTATTAGTGCAGTGTGTGTGTATGAATGATGTGTGTGTATGAGTGCGCAGTGTGTGTATAAATGCAGTGTGTATATGAGTGAAGTGTGTATATGAGTGCAGTGTGTGTGTATGAATGCAGTGTGTGTGTATGAGTGCAGTGTGTGTGTATATGAGTGCAGTGTGTGTATATGAGTGCAGTGTGTGTGTATGAGTGCAGTGTGTGTGTATGAATGCAGTGTGTGTGTGATGCAGTGTGTGTGTTTGTGTTGCAGAGCCTTGGTGGGGGGTGGGCATTTTTATAAAAAAAAATAAAAAAAATTAATATTATTTATTATTTACATTTTTTTGGTTATATTTTTTTATTATTATTTATATTTATATATTAATTAATATTATTTACATTTTTTTGTTATATTATTTTTTTTTATTATTTTTTTATTATTATTTATATTTTTATATTATTTATTTATTTATTTTTGTCCCCCCTCCCTGCTTGATACATGGCAGGGAGGGAGGCTCTCCTTCCCTGGTGGTCCAGTGGCATTGGCAGTTCAGTGGGGGGAGGAGGGGGGCTGGCAGAGCTGTTACTTACCTCTCCTGCAGCTCCTGTCAGCTCTCTCCTCCTCCGCGCTGGTCCGTGCAGCACCTCAGTCAGCTCCCAGTGTAAGTCTCGCGAGAGCCGCACTATGACCCCACGGCTCTCGCGAGACTTACACTGGGAGCTGACCGAGGTGCTGACCGGACCGGCGCGGAGGAGCAGGGAGCTGACAGGAGCTGCAGGAGAGGTAAGCGCTCGCTGCCAGCCCCCAGTCTGTATTATGGCAATGTAAATTAATGTAAATTGCCATAATACAGACAGTGACTCGAGTATAAGCCGAGTTGGGGTTTTTCAGCACAAAAAATGTGCTGAAAAACTCGGCTTATACTCGAGTATATACGGTATATATATATATATATATATATATATATATATAAAATATTATAAATTGCTTTAATTATTTTATAATATATTAACATATATAGGAAATAAAAGTGTGTGTAGATAGATAAACAATTGATAAGGGTGCACTCACATGACTTTTTCTGGTGGTATTTTAATTAGTGAAAACATATATACAATTACATCAGAACAAAAGATCAACGTTTCTACCCTAACGGGTCTTTTTCAAGATACAGAATGTAATACACTGTGAAAATATATACATAAGTGATAAAGTAAGCTTACCAATCGTGACAGTGATCTCGCCAGCATGATTGTACCTGGAAGTGACAGGAAGCTGCAATGACGTCATCACGTACTGCGCAAGATATCGTGGTTGCTAAGAAACCCATATGCACAACCCCTGAAGAGTCTATGTCCGGGGTCCTCAAACTATGGCCTGCGGGCCGGATCCCAGCCCAAGCACAAAGGGCCACCTGATGGGCCCTATATCTTCAGGGGCCCGGTCAGCGCTGCAGCCGTGCAATAGCGAGACCGGCCCCTTTATAAAAAATCTCAGCCGCAAAGTAGTGCTCGGAGGAAGTGACGGCCGGTGGTCACTTCCTCCCAATACCCTCCATGCGGGAGGAAAGAGAGCCAGGCCGCGGGAGCCACGCTAACTCCCATCAGCCAAAGCCACCCTCCTGCAAAAATGGTAAGCAAAATTAGCTATGTATGTATGTATGTCAGTATGTATGTGTATGTGTGTATGTCAGTATGTATGTGTATGTCAGTATGTATGTATATCAGTGTGTGTATGTCAGTATGTATGTATGTCAGTGTGTGTATGTATGTCAGTGTGTATGTATGTTTTTCAGTCTGTATGTATGTCAGTATGTATGTCTGTGTGTGTATGTATTTCAGTATGTATGTACATATGTATGTCAGTATGTATGTCTGTGTGTATGTATCTGTATGTATGTATCTATGTCAGTATGTATGTTTGTGTGTGTGTATGTATGTCAGTATGTATGTCTATCTGTATGTATGTGTATGTATGTATGTGTGTGTATGTATGACAGTATGTGTCTATCTGTATGCATGTCTGTCTGTGTGTATGTGTGTGTATGTATGTATGTATGTCCGTGTCTGTCTATGTATGTTTTTCAGTATGTGTGTGTGTATTTATGTCCTTATGCACGTGTGTGCAGTATTCATAGGAATTTGTTAATATTTTTTCTAGTCCGGTCCCCGACAGTGTCTGAGGGACCGTGAACTGGCCCCCTGTTTAAAATGTTTGAGGACCCTGGTCTATGTGAACCATGAAAGTGATATAAAAATGTGGTTACTGTATAACAAGCATACCAAGCTTCATGGAGGAAAAAATAGAATCAAACCGCAGTAAACTTTCTGTAGCAGCTAATACATAATAGAACAAAAAGTGATATTGTGACAACCTCAAGTGAACTGATGTACAGTGTGAAATGACATAGTGAAAGTGCAAAAACATGCCTCTAAGTGTACCAGCTGTATACATAATGAAATAAAATATGGATGATAAAGATTAATATATAATCTAATAATACATATATACAAATACATCAATATAGCATATTATCAAGAAAGCATCAGTTTTATGCACGATATCAATAAAAAAAGAATAATAAGGACTAATGATATGACACTCCGGTCTATAAGAAAACAAATATCATAATAAATGTAAGCATTGTTCGGATATAATTAGATATATTTTTTTTACTAATTAAAATACCACCAGAAAAAATCCTGTGAGTGCACCCCATCTATGCGGGCAGCACCCAGGCAAGTTACTTATTATTTATTCCAGAAAGGAGAGTGCCAAACTTTTGAATCATTTATGTATTTTTGGTGCAGCGTATCACCAACTTGAGCACCCCTACTGTATTATCACCTATCAAGTAAACAGTGATTTATTTATTTTTTTAGGCAATCTCTGAAGAGCAATCATTATCTGTGCTTTGGCCTCGCACCCCTAAAGACCTATCTCATACAAATACCGCTAAGGAGTTATAAAATGACTTATTAAAGTTAGAAAGATGGGCGATCGATTTGGACCTCCATGGCTTTTTCAGATTGGATTATTACAGAGCCAAGCACATTCCAAGAGGGTTTAGGGTGAGGAATTCACCCACAATAGGGCGACAGAATCCTGAGTTCTGTAAACATTGGATGAACATTGCCAACAAATGTTCATTAGACTGGATGGTGATTGTCATGGAGGAGGTGTGAAGAGAACTGGTTATGGTTAAACAATCCATCCAGGAATTGAAAGCAACCAATGTGACAACATTGCAAGCATCTTCTTCCAATTAAATGTTTCTAAAACTTCAGGATGGCAAACAGAAGTATCAGAACGACTTGATTCGGTTTAAGAAACAGAAACAAAGTAGAAACTAAGTAAAGTAAACCATGATTACACACATCATCAGGTTTATCGGTGGTTGAGCGGCATGAAATCCTATAACAGAAATACACCAAGATTCAGACCACGTATCAGAAAACAGTCTTTTCAAACCATTGATATAAGTTGTGGAGAATCAGCCTCTGATGTGGAATCCAGGGATGAAGGACATACATATAAATCAGTATCTTTTTTTAGGATTAGGGACCAATGAGCACAATAAGCTTCCACTTGAAATACAAGAGAAACAGAGTCCCTCGCAGAGGACAGAAGGGCCACAAGACATACAAGAACCACAGACAAACCTCCACTGCAGAAGATGCATCTATAATATTTAATCTGTTTGATAAGATCCTTGCTAAACACCATTATGCAGTATTGAACAAAGGATTGACGTTTGTCCCTGTAAACAAACTTAATCCCCTTCACGTTGATATTGAGAAGTATAAACTTCAAAGAATTTTATGTAGTAACGAATTAAGGAAAGATTCCAATATCACACAGAGTCCACGATTCTCCTCACATGAAAAGAAGGATATTAATTCCAACAACAGCTCCATCAAAGCCTTTATACAAGCAGTCCACAAGGATGCCATGGAAATAAGTTGTTCTCCACCTAAACATTGAGATAATCTAACTAGAGATGAAAAACTGGCCCTGCCAGATCTTAAAATTATTCTTCTATTATCTGCTCCATGGACAGAGGGGGGGCAGTCATGATCCAATCAAACCACAAATACAAGTCAGAGATTATTTATCAGGTGATATTCTCACCTACCAACAATTTACCTATGACCCTGTCTGCAAAATTCAACAAAGAGTCAGTGCTCATATTGAAACCAGATTAACTTCTGGATTCTGGGATTACAAAACATCTAAATATCTATTTTACGTATCATATACACCCAGTCCTGTACACTCTTCCCAAAATCCACAAAAATCCTGTAATCCTGTAAGTCCACTATCTGCTAGAGGAGGACTAATCAAAGCCATTGCTAAATTCGTGCATTTTTATTTACAGGACTACTTCAGAGACCTTCCGACATGTCTCAGAGACACACAGGATTCTGTGGCCAGTATTAAAGATATCTCATTGGAACAAGAAACCAATGTCCTTCTTGCTACTCTAGATGTACAGAATCAGTACACAGTGATACTGCAAAGCCAAGGGATCCAAGCAGTTTGAACATGCCTATTGGTATCTTCAACATACAAAGGTACTTGTAACGGACCATTTTGCACACAAGGGGTAAAAACCGTTTAGGCGATCGGCCCCCTTTCCAGAGATGCCGGCGCAGCTACTGCAGAACACCAAACTCCCGAACTGGATACAAAATAGCACTCCAACTCCCGAACTGGAACCTCCCAAATAGCTGCTAGCAGACGAACAGGAAAAGCAGACAATCAGCTTACACTCCTGGCAATCAGTCTCTAACAGCATACAGTGAATCCCCCCAAGAACGAGACAAGGCTCTGTGTTGAGGGTCAAGCAGTGGTCTGAGGTGCTGGCACACCCAGCCTGGTTTTTATTACAGTCTTGCAAATACAGGACCGCCCACAGGGAGGTATAAAATATCCAGTAACATATTAGTTACAACCCACAGATTCCCTCCCCCTTATCCTGAGAGGTAACCCAATACACATACCTTTTACCACAATGCATCCTGGCTTCCTCTCCTCTGCCCTGGAGATAAGTGAGAAGTAATTCAATTATCTCCCAGGACAGGGACAAGACTCCATTATGCACATGGTGACACAAAGACAGTAAAACACTTTAAAATACATAAAGTCACATTTATTACATAAAACACAGACATTTAACATATCCCCAGATAGCTCAGGTCTGAGCGCACATTATTAAGTGAATGGCGCTCAGACCACACGAATACAGTTTAATCGCCATGGAGCCAAAGTCTTTACAGTCAGTTTCATACGAATGGGCTCCAACAAATCTACCAAACCCCAGGCAGAAAAGCACGAATTAAGCTTTTCTGCAGGTAAAAAAAAGATGTCTTTTAAAAGGGGGCCATAGTCCAGGGGCAGCAGGCGGGCAACCAGGCTTCTCCAATGCAATGTGGCGAGATTGGTCTCGTCACAGTACTGAATACATGTTGGAATTCCTGTCTATAGCTCTGACTGTAATTACTTCAAACTTGAAGATACATTTTATCTACAAACCTCCCGAACAGCGATGGGGGCGGCTATGGCTCCCTCATACGCTAATGTATTCGTGCATCGGTTCGCACATGAATACATACTGTCAAAATTTAATACAAAAATAATAAAGTACCTAAGGTTTGTGGATGATATTTTTGTTATCTTGAGAGGAACGTCGGAGGAGCTGCACTCTATGGTTGTCCAGATCAATTTATTACTAGTGATGTCGCGAACCCGAAATTTTCGGTTCGCGAACGGCGAACGCGAACTTCCGCAAATGTTCGCGAACCGGCGAACCGCCCGAAACGCCATTGACTTCAATGGGGAGGCGAATTCTAAAACACACAGGGACTCTTTCTGGCCACAATAGGGATGGAAAAGTTGTTTCAAGGGGACTAACACCTGGACTGTGGCATGCCGGAGGGGGATCCATGGCAAAACTCCCATGGAAAATTACACAGTTGATACAGAGTCTGGTTTTAATCCATAAAGGGCAGAAATCACCTAACATTCCTAAATCACAATCAATATGGATTGACACCTGACATAAGACATATTGACACCTT